ACCAGTACACACCTCCTTGAAGTACTGCTGGGAATGTCCAGGAGTCGCCAGCCTCTGGACCTGTCAGAGTGCATGGTGGCCCTCACATACTTTCTGAGTGTTTAATGTTGACAAAATAATGGGTATAAAATTGCTGTGTAAACATATTTACTATACAAATGAAAGCAGTTGTTCCCATGTTATCATCTTGACCACTAAGAATTAGACGTGTCCTAGCCACTTCTGAGCATAAGCCACAGCAAAACAGCAAGACTGTCCAGAGTCCTGCCATGGTTCTGGATGGAGAGAATCCAGTAGGAGTCACTAGCAACCAGCAGGCTGTGATAACAGACCAGAGTAAAGCAGGTCCCCAAGGATCTTCCATGCAGACACTGCTTCCCACTGGGTGGAAACACTTGGGATCTTTCCCTCTACCTCCTTCCCTGCTGAGAGTTGCTGACCTTTACCATCCCTGAGACATCTGGAATGCAACCCTTCCCCTACGGCCCCTGCCTAGCAACACTTCGCCAAGAACAGCTTCCTAAACTGTTACTGGAATGCTCTCCATCTGTTCACTGGGAGCTTTCAGAGCTATGGATGGTTTCTACATGTCCCCTTTTTTCACTGCTCATGCATACTGAGGGACGGCGTCTGACTTCTGCTGGGCTCCTCTGAGCCTGGGGTCCACTCTTGGTCCCATGGAGGTTGTATTGGGATGGCCGGGGACTCAGCACCATCTTCTCCCTGCCTTGCTCCTGGGAGGCCCTAAGGTTCTGAGGTTGCTCAGCTTCACACAGAACAGGGAATAAGGCTGCACGCCTTTGAAGTGGCCTGGTAAAAACAGGCCACACCCAGTGCTGGCCTGGTAAAACACAGGACCCTCATCGGCTGCTGTTGGGAGTGTGAACCACCACAGCACTCTCAGCCAACTGTAAGATCCAGCAGCTGCATTCCTGTGCTTTCATTTATTCAAGAGTCATGGAAGTTCGTGTCATTGTGCAAGCTAGATCAAATTCCTGCCGTGGATGTCCAGAGCAGTTTTATTTGAAACAGTTCCTAAGTGGGAAAAACCCAAATGTCCTTTGCAAATGTGTCCAACTCTCAATGAGAAACAATGAGGGTATATACACACAACAGCTTAGACAGACCACAAGGAAGGTAGCCACTGATAAACACCATTCTCAAAAGGTCATGTGGAGGCTGGAGAGATGGCTCAGACGTTAAGAACACTGGTTGCTCTTGCAGAGGACCCAGGTTTGGCTCCCAGCACCCACATGGTGGTTAAGAGCCTATAACTCCAGTTCCAAGGGATCTGATGTCCTCTTCTGACCTTCACAGGCATCGCTTGACATGGGTGCACATATACATGCAGGCAATATATGCATACACTTAAATTTTAAAATATATATAAGGTCACATGTGGAATGCTTCTATTTTACCACTTTCTCAAAATGACCAAATTTCAATCCAGAGCAAGTAGTTCCCAGGAGTAGGGATATGGGCTGGGGGTGGGAGGCTGGGGGGTGAACTAAGGCACTTTTCTGTGCCCAGACTGCATTGATCGCTGTAAGATGTATGCTGAAAGGTACGCAGCGTGTAGTTGTGAGTACACGGTAGACACGGGTATCCCTAGTTTTCGATGAGCACTGACTTCAGTCTGAGGTGCGGCCATCAAGGCTCCTGGATAAGAAGCTGGGCTGGAGCTTCATTGACTTTCACGCCTGAATGTGCAATGCACAGAGCTGCCTGAGTCCTGATCCCTAGTGCTGTGATTGCCTCCTGACAGTGCACAAGGGGCGCTGCAGAGGTGAAGGTCTTGAAGAGTCATTCTAGATCTCCCCTAAGGGCTCTATCTGGAGGCAGGGAATCAGGGAAGGGATGCCAAGTGACTCCAAGGTCACCGAGATTGGAAGATGCCACTAACCTGAAGACAAAAAAAGACCAGGATCTAGGAGGGCAGGACCAGGAAGAGCTGGGAAAGACCTCTAGAGGGACCAGCATCACCCAGATCTCGACAGACTCTTCCTGGGGTCTTGGGCACTTCCCTTGTAGTCTAGAACTAGAGTTCTGTGTGAATCAGTAATTATTTCAAATTTTAGAAAAACATGCTGGGGTCAAGACTAAAGCACTGCAGGGTGGGGCTGGGATCTTCTGGGCTGTCTCCTGTAACCCCACAGGGGCAGAACCTTAGTCTTTACACCACCTAGTGGCTGGTGTCCACAAAGAATCCTGCCTGCATCCTGGCGCCAGCTGAGCCTTTCTGAATCTGTTTGCCTGGGGACCTTTGCCTCTTCTGCTGCAGACCTCACAGCCCCGGGGCTCATTCACACACCATGGGGCCACCAGTGAGACCTGGAGCAGGGTGCCGACCCTGAACGGCACTTGCTGTGCCCTGGGCAGCCCCAGGGCTAAAGAAGACATACCCAGGTGTGCAGCCCAGTGGCGTGAGCACAGTGGACCTATCTGCTGCCTCTACTACACTTTTCATTTGCCTAAAACGTTCCCTGGCTCAGGACGCAGGACGCAGGACGCAGTCACTCCTGGAGTTCCTGGTTGCTCACAATTTATCACCTCAAGACATTCTGTAACCTCTGCTGTGCAGTTTCCATGAGCAGCCTGCAAGGCAATCGGTTCCCATGCAGGGGCCATGTGTGTCTCCTCTCTACAGGTTGGACCTAGGTCAGTGCTCATCTCCCCAAGAGGAGCCCAGCATGGCACTGCAGGCCATGTCTCAGAAACCCCCTATCACAGTGAGGCAGCGTGTGGCTGTCACCTGCAGGCAAACTGTAGGAAACACGGTTGGTAAGTCATGCTCCCCCAGCAATGTTCACTCTTCAGCTGATGGGCCAAACTTGGTTTTCCCTGGGTCCTGGTGCAGAGCCTGCCATTGACAAACACACTGGGAGGGATGAGGCAGCCACGTTGTGGAAGACCAGGATGACAATGTTGACACATTTTATTTCCAGTCAACAGTAGGAACTTTCTCCTTACAACATGTTCCATGTTTTATGATGTAATGATTTGACAGGAGTGTTGTCTTTTCAGAGACAAGTCAATTGTCTGTGTGACAAAAGAGGATTGTGGGTTTGTTTTATTTATGTATTTATTATTTATTTTTGGGTCTTTTTTAAGACAGGGTCTCCGTGTAGCCCCAGCTGTCCTGGAACTCACTATGTAGACCAGGCTGGCCTTGAACTCACAGAGATCCACCTGCTTCTGCCTCCCAAGTGCTGGAATTAAAGGCGTGTACCACCACACTCGGCCCTTACTGGTTTTTGTGAGACAAGGTCTCACTATGTAAACTTGGCTGGCCCCAACTCACAGAGTTCCACCTGCCTCCCAAATGCTGGGATTAAAGCCAAATGCCACCACTCCCTATTTTAAAAGTGAATTTATTTGATAATTTCATACATAATAACATTCTGGTTACGCTCTCCACCCCTCTTTTATCTGCCTGAAGTATTACTAAATCTTCAGTGAGGGTGGGAGGCCCCCTCAACAGTGACACGGGATCCATCACAACAGTGTTTTTTGCCTCCGTTTCTTTATGACACTGACAGTGACACTCCTCCCTCTCCATTTCCCTCCCTTCCCTCCTCTTTTTTTCTCTTCCTCCTCGGTTTTCTTTTTTTTTTCTTGAGGCAGGGTCTCGCATCACTCAGGTAAAGCCTCAAACTCCCTATGAAGCCCTGAGTGGTCTTGAATACTTCCCCATCCTCCTGCCTCCACCTCCCAAGTGCTGGGGTTACAAGTGTGCACCACCTTGCCCAGCTACAATCTATTTTCTAAATTACGTTTTCTATGCTGGGTTCTTTAGGGAACCAGATTAGCATAACTTCGCTGTTGGAACATACTTCTCAGATCAGTCCCAAATCTCCTGGCAGCAGCACTGAGCAAATCTCAAACACACCCCTCGAAAAGACTGGCACCCACTAAACGAACTTCTAAAATAGCAACCTGTAATCCTGAGCATTTACAAGGCAGCACGGCTCCAGCGAGGGAGTAAATAAGACAAAGTGCCTGTGGGGAGGGCTCCAAGGCTGTTCAAATGCTAGGTCCGCGAATAGAAGCAATTTCCTCAGCTGGCACCAAAGGTTACATTTGTTAGCATTTCAGTGTTTGCCAAACTCAGGTACTGCAGAGACGCAAAAGTCCCAAGTCCCAGCGATTCAAGCTCCTCCGGCCCCTCGCTGTGGCTGAGCGCTGTGGAGGCCTCAAATTTAGGGGGGCTGGTCCGTGGGGTCGAGTAGCTGCCGGGGCCCTGTGCGCCTTCTGGGGCTGTCCCTTGCCAGCGCCCTCAGCCAGTGGCTCTCGCCTCGCCACGGCGCGTGAGTGGGAGCGGACCAGCAGGTCCAGCCGGGTGGGGGACAGAGAGGTGCGGACGCGCGGCTCCGGCTTGTCCCCTTTCTTCGGTGGTGTGTGTTAAGGAACCGACTTAGGGGCGCCCTTATGGTGGGTCCCCCACAAGCTTTAAGACGCCTGCGCAGAGGAACTCGGGCTGTGACTAGCTTCTACTTGGGCAGACCTGCCCGCCGCCCACTGCGCACGCCGAGCTCCGCAGGCAGCAACGGCTCGTGCAGGACCAGCCTGCGCTCTGGGTCCCTCCGGGCCGCGAGGCGGTGCTGGCAGGCCGCCACCTTCAGTGAGCCAGGGACCTCCTGGCTGCTTCCGAACCCGAGGGTCCGGACCGCGTGGCGGGCCCCAGTTCCGAGGGAAGGGGGGCGGGAGCACACTGTCCTAGGCCACCCCACCGTATCGCGTCTCCGTGGGTGACCCCAGCGCCTGGGGCGGGACACGCCCAGGTCCAATGACCCCAGGTCAGATGGGGGCTACTACTGTGGGTCCACACCTTTAGCGCGACCCGACCTCACCCCTTCCGCTCCCACCGCCTCCTCGGTGTGGACCCCGCCCCTTCCTCCACGCCTGTCCCGCCTCCGCCTCCGCCCGGCTGTTTCCCGCGCTGCGCGCGCACTGGCTGAGCCGCCTCTCTGCGGTGCCCGGTGTTCTGGACCCAGCACGTGGGAGGCCCGCAGGACCGAGTCTGCGATGCCGCGCGCGCCCCGGTGCCGCGCCGTGCGCGCCCTGCTGCGCAGCCGGTACCGCGAGGTGCTGCCGCTGGCGACCTTCGTGCGGCGCCTGGGGCCCGAGGGCCGGGGGCTGGTGCGGCCCGGGGACCCGGCGGTCTTCCGCGCTTTGGTGGCGCGGTGCCTAGTGTGCGTTCCCTGGGATGCGCGGCCGCTCCCCGCCGCCCCCTCCTTCGACCAGGTGGGCCGCCCCAGGGGGACCCGGGGACACGGCGGGGAGCCCAGCCGGAACCGGGATCGCGCGCCGGGGCCAGCCGCGGCCCGGGAATCAGGACCGTCCCCCCCTCCTCCTCCCAGGTGTCTTCTCTGAAGGAGCTGGTGGCCAGGGTCGTGCAGAGACTCTGCGAGCGCGGCACGAAGAACGTGCTAGCTTTCGGCTTCGCGCTGCTGGACGAGGCCCGGGGTGGGCCACCCATGGCCTTCACGACCAGCGTGCGAAACTACTCGCCCAACACGGTGACCGAGGCGCTGCGCGTCAGCGGGGCGTGGGGACTGCTGCTGCGGCGAGTGGGCGACGACGTGCTGGCCTATCTGCTGGCGCGCTGCGCGCTCTACCTTCTGGTGCCCCCCAGCTGTGCCTACCAGGTATGCGGGTCACCGCTGTACGATCTCTGCACCACCGCGGGAACCTGGCCCTCCGTGCCCCCTTACCGCTGGCCCACCCGGCACGTGGGCGGGAGCCACAGAGGGAGCCTCGGATCCACACACTGGAGCAGCAGCCACGTGGAAGCGCAGAGACCCAGGGCCTTGCGAGCTGGAGGTGCAAAGCGGCGTCTGAACACCGGAGAAGGTGCCCCACCAGCAAAGAAGCCCAGGCAAGACCTGGCCTCGAAACTGGAGAAGGGACCCGACAGGCAGGCGGTTCTAACCCATCAAAGCAAGGCATGGGCACCAAGTCCTGGAGAGCCCCACGGGGCAACTACTACCGGAGCCGCCGTGGGAAAATTGCGCTTGGAGGAAAAGCCATCTCGTGTGAGTGTCCCCCCATCTGTGACCTGTAATCGCAAGGCCAGCCCGGTACCTTCCCCCGGGTGGCCGCTGAGCCCAGGTGCCCTTCGACTCCGACCGTACATTGAGACCAAAAGCATCCTCTACTCCTGCCCAGCCGGCCAGGAGCGGCTGGGCCCCTCATTCCTGCTCAGCACCCTGAGGCCTAGCCTGACCGGGGCCCGGAGCCTCATAGAGACCATCTTCTTAGGCTTGACCCCTAAGAGACCAGGCCCGCCGCGCAAATTACGCCGCCTGCCTCCGCGGTACTGGCGGATGAGGCCCCTATTCCAGCAGCTGCTTGCAAACCATACAAAGTGCCCGTACATCGCACTCCTCAGGTCACACTGCAGGTTTCGAGTTGCAGCCCACCAGGTGACAGGTTCCCGCAGCCCACAGCGGCCCCCTAGACCAGCAGCGGCCTCCGAGGAAGATGCCAACCCGCGGTACCTGCTGCAGCTGCTTCGCTTGCACAGCAGCCCCTGGCAGGTATACCTGTTCCTGCAAGCCTGTCTCCGCAGGCTGGTGCCCGCTGGCCTCTGGGGGTCCAAACACAATGAACATCGGTTCTTGAGGAACACAAAGAAGTTCATCTCACTGGGGAAGCATGCCAAGCTCTCACTTTCAGAGCTGATGTGGAAAATGAGAGTGCAGGACTGTGCGTGGTTGCGCAGGAGCCCAGGTGAGGAGGGTGGTCTCTGGTCTCCAGCTGAACACAGCAGGGGTCCAGAAAAGGGACAGGAAGTGTCAGGAGCCCGAGTTCTCAGTGGGTCCCGCGGCTTCCTGCATTGGGCCTTGAGTGGGCCTCTGATCTCTGCCACCAAGCTGCCTCCAGCCCAAGATTGCCGCCCATGCCCTGGGGCAGGTTCTGGGTGCTGGGGACAGTGTAGTGAACAGGTAGGATGTGTACTGGATGGGAATGCTGGCATCCAGTGAGAAGGAAGGGGCCAGAAGCTCTAGTGAAGGGTCTACAGGTCGATGATAACCCTTGTGAAACAGTACCTCATGATTGAAATATGAGGTTGGCATGGGAACGCTCTTGTCCTGATGGGAAGTGGGTTTTGAAACCTTGGGTTTCGATGGTACTTCTGGTCACCCAGTGTGCAGATGGTGCTTAAGCTTTGATGGTGCGGCTTCTAGGCCCTAGCAGGGCAGGGTGGAAGAAGGGAGGAGGAATAAAGAAAAACTGAGCCAGGCATGGTGGCGCACTCCTGTGGTCCCAGCACTTGGGAGGCAGAGGAAGGCGGATCTCTGTGAGTTCAAGGCCGGTCTGGTCCACATAGTGAGTTTTTCTGATTTGACAGAGTTGGCCCACTAACTCCCCATCCTGCTGTACCTGAGGTGGAGTGACATTCAGACTTACTTGCCGTTTGACCCCTCTCCCAAATTCCCTGGACATTTACAACGTCTAGAAAAACAATGACAGAGCCATGCTTGCCCACTATGGCTGATCTTTAGGAGCCCCGGTGTTGGCCTTTAAAAATACCTGACCCGTGGCTGGGTGTGGTGGCACACACCTTTAATCCCAGCACTGAGGAGGCAGAAGCAGAGGATCTCTTGAGTTCAAGACCAGCTGGTGCTACAGGGAGACCCTGTCTCACAAAGACCCTCCCCCCCAAAAAACAACAAAAAACAATAATCTGACCCTAGAGATCTTGGAGTGCATGACTTTGGACTCTGGCTTTCCTTTTCTGGTCAGTATCCTTGGTCACCTCTTGTCCTGTTGCTGTGGAACTCTCCACAGGCCTTTGTCTCTGCCTGGCGCTCATCCACAGATCAAGCCTTTGTGACCTCTGTAAACCATCCAGTCTGCCTTTCCAGCTCAGTGGCTCCCTCATCCCTTACTGTCAGTATCGCTTGCTCTGGGTTGCCATGACATCCCTGGAGAAAATGAGATACCCCGTCCCTTGTTCATCTTACCTGGCAGCTGTCCTTATTCTAGACACATGCTGCGTCTTGCTTAGATTAATCTCTGCCTCAGTCTTCTGTCAGTTTACATCCAACTTCATGACCACCTTTCCAGACTTCAGTTTGACCATGTCCCTCTCCTAGTCCACAAACTCCCTTGACCGTCAATGTCTCTGGAAACTTAACGGGTCCTCTCTGTTGAGTCTTTCTTTTGAATTTTATTCCCATTTCTAGGTTTAAGCATTTGCTTTCTAACATCCTCCTTTGATTTTTTGAGGCAGGGTCCCCCTGTGGCTTCAGTTGGCCTGGGATTCACTATGTAGACCAGGCTGGCCTCAATCTCATAGACCCTCCTGCCTCTTCTCCTGAGTGCTGGGGTTAAAGGCATGTGCCACCACTCCTGGCAGCTAACATCTTTAAAAAAAATTCATTTGACAGTTAAAAATTTATTTTTATTTTATGTATATGAGTATTTTGCCTGCACATATCTAAGCGCACCACATGTATCCAATGCCCACAGAGGCCAGAAGAGGGCGTCAGGTCCCTGGGACTCTTATGGATTTTTTTAACCACCACGTGGGTGCTGGGAACCAAACCCAGGTCCTCAGCAAAAGCAGCCAGTGCTCTTAATCACTGAGCCATCTCTCCAGCCCCTCATTTAGCAACTTTTAAAATTACACTTGGGGGGTGGGGGAGTGAACTTGTCATAGTGCTTGTGTGGAGATCAGAGGGCAGCTTGCAGGAGTCTTTCCGGCTGTGAGTGCCAGGCATCAAGTGCTTGTCAGCAAGCACCTTTACTGGCCCAGCCATCTCATTGGCCCTGTAGCGTCTTCGGTTGGATATTTGGGTATGCATTTTCTTCTGCGTGCTGCTCTAGTGTCTTCCCTGTTTCAGTATATGATAACTTCGATATCAATGGTTTGGGGCTGTTTTCTAATTCTTATGATGTTTTTGATAAATGAATTTTTAAACATTTCATTTCCCAAATATATGGGATATTCTGAATTTTCCTTTTAAAATTGATTTATTATTATTTTATGTGTATTGCCTGTATGTATGTAAATGCACCTCTGTCATGTAGTGCCTGTGGAGGTCAGAAGAGAGTGTCAGATCCCTTGGAATTAGAGTTGATGGACGGTTGTTATGGGCCATGTGGATGCTGGGAACCAAACCTGGGTCCTCTGCAAGAGCAACCAGTGCTCTTAACTGCTGGGCCATCTCTCCAGCTCCTCAAAATTGATTTTGTACTTAATTGTCTAATGGTGTGTATTATACCAATTATTTGAAACTGCTAGAAACTTGTAATCTGGTGTGGGCAGTTTTCATAGTGTTCTCTGTATTTCTGAGTTCTGCATGTGTCTTTGCGTTAACTATCAAGTATACACAGGAAGCCTCCCCCTTTCTTCCAGGTGCTTGAAATGGGAAGAGGGGCGCCAGGATCTCTCACGAGAATATAGTGGATTTATTTCTTCTTGCTCTGGTGGTATTTACATTGTTAGGTTATACACTAGACTGCTTATCTTTCTAATTAGAGAATCTATGATTTCTAGGACAGTGTGTCTCTAATAACTTTTTAAATTTAAAGGAACTTTTTTTTTTTGAGACAGGCTTTTGCTAAGTTGCTCAGACTGGCCTCAGGTTTACAATCCTCCTGCCTTAGCTTCCAGAGAAGCTGGGATTAGGGGTGTGTAAACCACACCTGGCTTTTCTCTAGGTATCTGGCTTTATAATGTAGCTTAAAAGCTTCCATGCTCTAAGTGTGGCTGTTCTGGGCTTGCTTTTGTTTAGTGTTTCTCTGTTATATTTTTTTCCTTCTGACTTTTGCTTCTCCTTTTCATAGCTTAGGTCTAGATGTCTCTTTCTAACAGGTGAATTTTTTCCGTGCAGCCTGACAGTTGTCAGTTAACTGGAAAGCTTAACTTGTTTCCATTTTTTACAAAAAGGTGTGCCTGAGATGTGCTACCTGTTACTTCCAGTTTGCTTTTGTAAAGACTTATTTTATTATTTGTGTACATGTGCGTGCGCGTGCACATGCACATGTGCAGGTGACCACAGAGGCAGAAGAGGTCATTGGATTCCCTGGAGCTGGGGTTAGAGGTGGTTGTGAGTCATCCAACATGGGTGTTGGGAATTGAACTCTGAAAACGTGGCCAGCACTCTCAATGCTGAGCCGTTACTCTAGCCCGTAGGCTTTTTGTTTTTTTATTTTTTATTTTTTGGTCTTTTTGAGGCAGGGTACCCCAGCTGGCCTGGAACTCATTATGTAGATCAGGCTGGCCTTGAACTCACAGAGATCCGCCTGCTTCTGCCTCCCAAGTGCTGGGATTAAAGGCGCGTGGCACCACACCCGGCCTAGGCTTTGTTTTTAATTCATGCCATCCCTTTGTTTTTTTTGCCTTCTGACTGGTCACACTGTGCGTACCCTCCTGCGAAGTCTAGTGGTCACCTGACATTTGCCTTCTTTCTCCCCAAACTGTAAGGGTCTTTGTGCACACTGACTCTGATCAGCACCTCCACTTACCTCCTATTTCCCTGCTGGTTCTGCCCTGGGCTCCTCTACTCCCGTTAGACATTCTAGTTTTCTAAGGTCCCTGCTTACTGAGTTTTACCCTCCGACACTGTCTTCTTAGCTCATTCTGTCTTCCAGCTCAAGCCTCTCTTCTGGGATTCCTGTTCATTTCCTTCACAAGTCTGTTTCATGTTCATGACTTCTGGTAAACCCAGTTTTATCAGATAATCAATGGCCCCTGTGGTGTCTGGAGACACCTGTAGACTTCATGATGCATGCAGTGAAATTTAGAGGCCCTGGAGGAAGACCGCCATCTTGGCCCATAGTGCATATCTGGAACCCACATGTCCAGCATGGCATGTGAAAGCCTGTGCTCCATGGGGCCTTAGGCATCTCTGGACCTTGCTGTTCAGTGGTGATGAGTGTGACCCAGTGGTGTAACACCAGCACTCACTGAGGTTTGCCTTTGTGCTTGTACACGTGGAGGCCCAAGGTTGAAGTCAGTCTTCTTCAATCACCAGAGCTTGCCGATTCAGCTAGGTGGCTGACCAGTGAGCCCCAGGGATCCTCCTTTCGTGCCTCCCCAGCACTGGATTACAGGCACATGCCACCATACCTGACTTTTTAAACATGAGTTCTGGGGCTCAGACTCAGGTTTTCATACTTCTGCAGCACGCATTTTACCACCTCAGCCATGTCTCCAGCCCCTATCTGCTAACGTTCTTAGCTTTAAAGTGGGTAGAAGCTAGTGGTCTGCTAAGTCACTCTGTCCCAAAGACTCACTGGATAGTTAAGAAAGTGCTAGGTTAGATTCTGAGGTTGGTAGTGAATGATTTGGCTCTTGATCTGTAGCGTTCCGTTGCTCCGTAGTCGCTGAGTTCTAGTCTGTAGGATCCTTAATACAGACATGACTCTGTTAGGAAACTTCAGTTCACACCGTGCTGAAAAGGCAAGAAGAAAAGGTGAATCTGGTTCAGCAGTGTATTTTATTAGAGCCCGACCTTCCCAGACAGGTTGACTTTGAGATGCCTCTCCACAGCTGCACCTCAGGGCTGCATGTATAGCACATCTTAGAACTGTCATGTTCTGGGAGTCCATAGTTTCTGTGTTGGGCCTCACAGGCCTCGGGTGAATCATGGGTATTGTTGGATATCTCATTTCAGGGGACGTCTGTATCCCAGCTTCAGAGCACCGTCTGAGAGAGGGGATCCTTGCCACATTCCTGTTCTGGCTGATGGATACATACGTGGTGGAGCTGCTCAGGTCATTCTTTTACGTCACAGAGACCACATTCCAGAAAAACAGGCTCTTCTTCTACCGCAAGAGTGTGTGGAACAAGCTGCAGGGCATCGGGGTCAGGTATCACCTGACATCTCTGTCATTATCTCAGTGTTTACACACACAGAGGCACTGACTCCTGTAGTCTGTGCAGCACGTGCTAACCCGTCCACAGACCCCATTGTAGTCGTGGCTACTGACTGCCTGGAGACCCTGCCTGTGAAATCAGGGCTTGGAGCTGTACCATCTCTGGGATCCCTAAAGTGGGAAGAATTCATATTGGTCAGAAGCAGAAACTGCTGCCTGTTTGGGATGTGGGTCTGAAGGTTAGGTTCCATCTCCTGCACACCCTTGAAAGGAGCACCTAGGAAGAACTCTCTTCAGTGGGACACTACTGGGGCTCACCCTGAAAGCTGGCCTGGACTCTGAGTGGCTGAGGCTCTGTGCTGCTTCAGCTGAGTGCCATCCCCAGTTGAGATGGAGGTCAAGCTGAGGGGACAGAGGAGAAGCTGGCTAGGATCTGCCAAAAGCAGCCTGCCATACATTAGCTACTCTGAGGTCCAGCCCTGGCTGTGTATTCCATACCACTCAGTAAATTTGTGGGAACCCTTAGCAGCCAGATCAGGGCTTCCTGAGCACTGTGGCACACTAGAGCCCCACAAGGGCTTTACACACCTGTGCCATGAGCCAGGATGTCCACAGAGAGTGCAGAAGATTGCTTCAGAAGTGTTCTGGCAAAAACCAGGTGTACTAATGCACACCTTTAGTCCCAGCACTCAGGAGGCAGTGGCAAGCAGATCTCTGTGAGATCGAAGCTAGCCTGGTCTACACAGAGTTCTAGGCCAACTGTGGCTACAGAGAGACCTTGTCTCAAAAGACACAAAGAAGCGTGCCCTGGCCAATGAGGACCCCAAGAAGGAGACACTGGGCTGACCATGTGGTCAGGTGTCCCAGGTGCCAACACAGGTTAGATGTCGGGCACCCTGCTCAATAGACAGCTCTGTGAGGTGTCTAGTTGGTATAAGTTTCTGTGACCCTGTACATAATCCCATTTCATAGCCAGATGTTGAGTGCCCTGAGCTCCCAACCATTGGTGGGAAGTGTGGTTTCCCATGAGCTCCCTGTGTGTCATATTGTGGCTCTCTGTTTCAGGCAACACCATGAGAGAGTGCAGCTGCGGGAGCTGTCACAGGCTGAGGTCAGGCAACACCAGGAGGCCTGGCCCGCCATGCCGACATGCAGACTGCGCTTCATCCCCAAGCCCAGTGGTCTCCGGCCCATTGTGAACATGGATAATGTCATGGGTGCTAGAGCTTTCCGCAAAGAGAAGCAGGTGACCACACTGGTCTCCTGTACTGCTGATTGAGCCTGCACTCGGTGACCTACACAAGGCTCGAGGCATCCTGAGCCTTGGGTGGGAAGAGGAGGAAGGATGGTTGTCCAGGAGACAACATCCATGGTGGTGGATAGGAACAGGTTGGGGCAAATCAGGTAAAGATTCCAAGTGCAGCCAGAGAGTTAGTGGGATGCATCATGGGTCTTCCAAGACCCTGGCTCTAGGACACACTATGGTATCTGTTCTGAGAAAGTTGGGCAGCTTGGGGCGGTCTGCCAGGTCCCTCTCTGACATGTCCTCTGTGGTTCAGGCCCAGCATTTCACCCAACGCGTCAAGACTCTGTTCAGTGTGCTCAACTACGAGCGGACGAAGCATCCCAACCTTCTGGGGGCCTCTGTGCTGGGTATGGATGACATCTACAGGGCCTGGCGGTCCTTCGTGCTGCACATACAGGACCCAGTGCCCAGGCTATACTTTGTTAAGGTAGGCATTTGGTCCTCTGCACCCATCACATCTGCTCTCAGTCATGGTCTGAACTCTGGGGACCTTGGAGCAGCCAATACCACGTGACTCTGTTGCTAGCCCCAGCTGGTACTTGGGAGCAGTGACCTGCCCCCACATAGAAGCCAAGGATTCTGTGGCCTCTGATTCTAGGGAGCAGGGGTCACAGGTGACCCTATTCTTCTGGGGATGCTAATTTCTAGCACACCTTTGATTCCTGCGTGGGCGCTCTGACAGTGAACCCCAACTCCTTTGGGCTTTGCTCTCTGAGAAAATCACACTGGATGCTAGTTCCCATTTGGAAGAGTCAAACCTGGCTCTACTACCAGGGCCTGAATACTCCAGGATCTGGTCTGCTGGAGGTCCTCACAGGCTCTGAGGCTCAGAGAGAATGATACAGCCCTGTCCTGCCCTGTCCTAGGTTCCTCAGTCTGGAGTGATGGATTAGAGTGAGGATCCTTGGTCTGGGGCAGAAACTCTGTCAGATTTCCACAGTGGGATGGGCATATATGGCTAGGGCTAGGTGGGAGCACAGAGTCTCTGTCTTGGCTCTACCCTCTACAGGTTTGCTAAACACAGATTGGGGCCCAGGCTCTGAGGACAGAGCCAACAGGACCCCTGGGACCAAAGCACCATGTTCAACACTGCTCACATGTGTCCCACAGGCAGATGTGACTGGGGCATACGATGCCATCCCTCACAACAAGCTTGTGGAGGTGGTTGCTAGCATGATCAGGCCCCTAGAGAACACGTACTGTGTCCGCCGGTATGCTGTGGTCCAGAGAGCTGCAGGAGGCCACATCTATAAGTCCTTCAGGAGACAGGTAAGACCTTGGTGGACATGTGTAGACACTGAGCATGGCACAGGTCTGTTTATGTCCTGGGCATCTGGGGTGTCAGTGAACGAGTGTGGTTGTGAAGGGTCCATATTTTTGGCGTATCTGTATGTGGGCATGTATGTGGCATGGGTGTCTGCGGTGCCAACATGTGGGGCCTCATCTCCCTCAGGGTGACTAACGAAGTTTCCCCTTCCAGGAAGTGTCTCCATCTCTTGTCCTCCCACACTTGGGGGCAACTCAGTGGTTTGTGTATACAGTGCCCTCTTCAGCAAGCAAGTGGGTACAAAGGTGCAGGAGTTTTCTCAGGCCTCAGGCCTGGGACAGGGACATGAAGACCCACAGTGTGGCTTCCTTTGCATCTTTTTTTAAAAAATTATTTATTTAATAACCACATACTTAGAAGCATTTCATTACAACAGCATTGACATATTCAATAATGAAGTGCTTCTTCTAATCATGTAGAAAAATAAATAAATCTTCTTTTAAATATGGAACCATGGGGACTTTAAGGCATCTTGGTACCAAAAGAAATGCACCTGGCCATCTAGTGCCTCCTTTTCACCTCACCAGTAAAGCACAGATAGGCCCAGTATAGAATCCTGAAGGTTGTTTCCTCTTTGCACACTTCTTCTCATAATATTTCTCATTTAATGGCCAGAATATTACCATATC